TCCAGGTCATTTGTTTTAAACTTTGGGTGGCCCAGATAACAAAGGGGAATGCAACTATACCACTGCACTGCCCCTGAATCCACCCCTGATACCAGGTCTCTCACTTCTTGATAACTACTTTCATCACTGAACTATTATAGAAAAGGTGGGCAGCACTACCAACTGCTCCACTGGCTCTTTTGGCAGTATTTTAGAAATAGAGGTTGCCTATACATGTGCTCAGGGGTGGGATGTGGGTGTGTTTTAATTAGAGTGGTTCCCAGAGAGCTGCTCTAATTAAAATACCTCATTGTCACATCTATTAAGCCCCTACACATTTAAAAATGACCATGGGATGTTTTAGCTAAACCTTATTCAATGAGGTTTAGATAAAGCACCCCCATGGCCATTTTAAAATGCATGGAGGTGGACACGATGATGAGGTGATGCCAGCCCATTTCAATTAGAATGCAGAGTAGATTCAATTATTTGAGTCTGTTCCAATGCGTTCTAATTAAAACATGAATGAGCAGTTGTGTAGGCAGCCACAGCAACTACAGCTGAACCTTGTGAGGCCTTAGTCCTGTTAATGTGTTAGGTATGCTCTGGGTACATTTACTAGATTGGGCAGAGAGTTACCTGCTTCTTTTTTAGGTTCTAGAACTTGGTTAGGCAAGAACTAGGACCCAGCTCCTCAGGCCAACACAACATGTAAAGAACTGCAACAAAGGTCCTGGGAAACTTTTAGCCAGAACAAGGAGGAGCCTAATGAGTTTTGGTGCGTTCAGAGTTAGGCAGCTGCTGATCAGGGTGTTTTTGTTTCACAGCTTGAGATGCAGGCCCATAAGATCTGTCTAAATCCTGTTTCAGGAGCCTATGTCCTCTGCCAGATCCAGACCAAGCAGAATAAAGCCCAGAATCTCAGAGCTAGTTAGGCACCTACTCTTATAGTTGACTGACCCAAGGTGACAGAGAAAGTCTGTGGTGGGATATGTATTTGAATTTGGGTCTGCCAAGTTCCACAGAAATCTGTTAAGAACTAAACCATATTCTCAGTTCAGTTAAAACTGCAGTGAATATTTTATTGAAAACAGCACTTAAACTACTTGGTTCAGATTTAAACAGTTTTCAGCAAAGTGAAGGTTCTTGATATTGGTCATAAGAGGCAGGAAGGATATCTGCTGATGATGAGCATGATGTGTTTTATAAGCAAGGACATCAACAGTTGTAAAGCTTTGAAAAATCATATCCATGATACAGAAAACATTTTTAAATTAAGGAATGTCAAGCTAGTTTGAGACCCTGAGGACTTGAACTCAAGGAAAGCAGAGGATTTCCTTTGAATGAAAGTACAGGTTATGCACATTTTGCTTCTTGTTTAGAACATTGTTGGCTCTTACTGAAAAAGCCAATACAGTGGCATCCTGTACAATTGTCTGCAATGTGTAGCTTGTTCACAAATGAATGCATTTTTTAAACTGATATACAAATCTGAGTAGAGTTTTCACAGATGCAGAAATCTGTCTCATCTATTTAATAGTCTTACTCTATTGTGTCAGTGTCAAAATAATTCTGAACCTTTCGAGCCAAGAAGGAAGACAATTATCTCCCTGAATTCTGTACCATTGTTAGAGATCTATTTGGCAGATATATATATAAAAATATACGCTCTCTCATCCATGGACATTTTATGGTCAAGGATGAACAATTAAATTGGAACTACACAAAAGGTGGAATAAATGCTTTCCAAAGGGCACAAACTTGACCTGACACATAAGGAAATTTATGACAAGCTCCCTGTTTCCCCACACTGAGTGCCACCAAAAAGGCAGCTCAACTCTCAATATATATCATACAAAAAGTATAATAAATAAGACTTACATTATTCTGAAGTGTCTTTTGCTGCCAATTTTAAAATCAGTTTTATTTGGACATTTTAACAAGTTAGGACTTCAGAGTTGCAGAGTTCCTCCCCAGACATGCATGGTAGCATGCAGACACACAGGCTAGGGACAGAAATTATACATAAACTAGTAAAAGTGATCAAAAGCTGGTTCAAATCTGTAACACAACAGAAGTTTAGTGCACATAAACTGCTTTCAAAATGATCAAAACCGAGTTAATGGATGGATGTAGTATCAGACTTCACTGATTTAGGTTAAATTGGTTTATTAAACTTCTGTCCTAGATCCCCTCCAGTTTCAAGTTAATTCACAGTTCCCAGCATCCCAGAATGGTTTGCACCTCTCCTGCAATGCCCACCCCCACACACACACACAGTGGCTGGGTGAGCCTTGTCCCAAGCTATCTGCAGCAGCAGAGCAGGGAGGCATGCTCTAGTACCCCCAGCTTCTGGCCTGGGCCACTGCAGGCATTTGGCTGCATTTCCAGAATCAAAAGTGAATGTCTGTTCACTTGCTTATTCGTTATTGGTTCAATCTACTCAGCTATGAAAGTGAGCCACGGCAGGAGACTGTTTTTCCTGCAGGGCTTGCCAAGAAATGCCAGGTGATGAAAGAGAGAAGGGCGCAGTCCCAGAGTGAATGGCAGCTCCGGATGAGCTGGCAGAGCAAGGCTTGAAGTAGCCCTAAGCCAAGGAGCAACTCGGGGAGAAGCCCTGAGCTGGGGAGAGATGGCGGGAGGAACAGCAAAGGGGGAAACACCCAGAGGGTGTAGCCAGAAGAGGCAGGGAGAAGCCCCATGCTGGGGAGCAAAGCTGGCAGCCTCGAGCTAGTGAGGGACACTGGGAGGAGCAGCAAGGGGGAAAACATCCAGGGGGAGTGGCCAGCAGAGGTGGGGAGATGGACATCGGAGCCTGGAAGAGAGAGGAGGGAATGGACACACCCTGGAAGGGAAAAATGTGGAGAACAACTGGGAAACAGGCTGTGGAAGAGTCCTAGGGACCAGGGGGATGAAAGAGGGATGAGCTTGTGGCTAACAACTGAGAAGAGTCTCACGGTTGGGTAAGAGACACACCAGATAGAGTGGCAGCCCAGTGGAGACAACTGGGACTCAGGGGAAAAAATAGCAATATTGGTGTAGCAAGCTTACCTTCCAGAGCTTGGGTTGAGTCCCAGGCTTGAGAGTCTGCTGTTTGATTGGTGGAGCCCATTCACCAATCAGGAGACAGCAAGAGGAGTGAACCCACACCCCTTTCCTGAGGGGAGGGGGAGAGGAGCTCCATTGACCTGATTGTAGAGTGCAAGACTGTCAGGTCCAGAAGACTTCAGGGGCAGAGCCCTGAAGAGTATAGAAAGAGCATCATGCCTGGCATGAAGGAACAAGTGACGAGGGACTTAAGAACAGTGGAGTGAGAAAAGCTGAGGAGTTCTCCCCCAGCAGGCAATAGACCCAAGGCTCCTGAAGCTGCTACTGGAGGAGCAGCCTTGGGAGCAGTGCGAGTCTGCTCAGGCTGTTGATAACACACAGGGATGATGTGCAGAGACCCGGTTCTGGGAGTGGTGTGAGATCGCTCAGGCCCATCTTGGTGCACAGTTCAGCACATGGAACCCAGGCTTTGGGAGCTGCAAGTGGCAGTTCAAGTCTGGAACTCCAGCGGGTGGCTGGGCATCACGGTGTATGGTTCAGTGCACAAAGCCTAGGCTCTGGGAAGCTGCAAGTGGTGGCTTGAGCCTACAACCCCAGAGGGACAGCAGGCCACTCGGTGTGTATGGGGCCAAGGGCCTTGGGAGCTGTGGTGAAGCAGCTCAGGCCCCATCTCCTGAAAAGCAGCCGGGTCCCATAGTGCACAGGGCAGCGCATGGGGAAGTGGAGCCAGGATGCAGCAGAGGCTGCTTGGGTTAGTCACCCGGCATGAGGCCAGATGGCTGGAGCTTGAAGGGCCCAGCCTTTGCTAAACGAGCCCTCAGTGCCAAAGCCAGGGCATGGGGAAATAGTAGTGCTGGGCATGAGGTCCAGCACCCAGGAACCAGCAGCGGTGGTACAGCAGCTGAGAGGAGCTGAGCCCTCGGTGCCCAGAGTGGGACACAGGATGGGGAGGAGCCCAGCAGCACAGGAGAGGACTGGAGAGGCACTCCAGCGGCCATGCGGAGGAGACCCCATCAAGCTGCTCCCTGACCACCGCCACTTGAGGAAACATGAGTCAGTGGGTCCCACAGGGGAAAACGTTTTGGGCAGAGAAACCCCAGAGAAGGGGCTGGTTGAGTAGTCCTTCCCCACTCCCATGGGACCCCATTGAAAGAAAGACTACCATGGGTCAGGGACTATATTAAGAAATGGATGTTATTAAGATTATGTCTGCACCTTATATTTTGTAATTGAACTGGTGTATTGTCTTGATGCTGCTGAAATTGCTTTGTTGTGATGGGTAAATAGTGTTATCATAGGACAGAGTAATTTCTGAAAAGCACCCTGTTGGTTTCTTTGATTGCTAGATCCCCTAACTGGGTAGGGGTCCATTTGATGCCTATCTTCCTGCATTAATGAAGGAGGGACTGTTCCTTTGTAGGGGTAAAGTTGCATTTCCTCTGTTATACTTGGTGTGACCCTTAACTGAGTATGGGTTCCCCACGGTGGGGTGGAGAAACTGTGGGTTTATTGTATATATATTGTTTTCCCTGGAGATTGTGGTTGGGAGTGATTTTCCCATAGTGTTATGTAGGGTTTGACCTTGGTTATTGGTCATTGTGTAAATATATGTATATGATATTTAGTTCTATGTTTATATATAGTATATGTTAATAAATATTGTAAATAGTTAAGAGCCTGTCTAGAGTCTAACTCTATGGAGGAAGGAAGGATCCACACATCAGTGATGGTGATCCTTCCCACAGCATCCTTACCTCCACCACTCCCTTGTGATTGGGATCAGAGCACACCCTTAGGTGTACCCAGGCTACATTTGTTTAAACATAAGAAGAGCCATGGGCAGCAGTTAAAGCAGGACTTTATTTTGTGTGTTTATATTTTGGTCTGGAGTGGACTTTATTTTGTTTGCTTAGTTCTTTTTTATGACTGTTTTATTTTTCATTAACATCCTGAAAGGAATCCAGGGTGTCTGGTGGCAAGAGACTGGGGTGCAGGGAATGATGGAGCCCCAATTTTTCTGTCAGGTATTTTTCATGTCAGTAAAAGTCTTCTTTTGTCCTGTGTTGTGGTGAACATCCTTCCATCAAGGAAAGTGTGTATGCAACCCTGTAATAAAAATAAGAGCAAGTATACTTACCATCCAAGTCGTGGCAGGCAAGGTTTTGTATCAACAGGGGGGGGTTAATGGTGATATAAGCCCCTTTACCCATTGTAGCAGAAGAAAAGATGTCATCTTGGAAAGGGCAGAAGCCCTACAGCACCTACCATCGACATCAGCTTAGACTAACTGGTGAAGATTGAATCGATTCAGCCTTGGGCTTTTTGACTGTGTGTACTTAGTGCCACACGGGTGTGATTCATTGCAATACAGATCTTCAGAAAATTAGTTATTTTTCCTACTTTTAATTTAATCTTACTGATTATTCAAATCATTCAAAATACCCAGTATATGCTTATCTTACTTTGTAAGAAAGGATTTCATCTTCAGTAATCTGTTTGTATTTTTATGATGTAACAACACTTTTAGAAATGAGGAAACGAAGTGCATTAAATGCTGATGTAGTACCTTGGAAACCGATACTTCATTTCTGCAGTTTTTAAATAAGCCCATTGCTTATATTTCTTTTCAGTTCAAAGCCAATTACCTTGATTTAGTCGTACAATAGCAAGTTTATCTTTTCAAGGCATTCAAGGTGATATACTTAATTAAAATATATTTTAAAAGTCAAAATTTAAGAGATATACTGATTAAGTAGTGTTAGAACAGCAGGTAATTAAATATGAGAAAAGTGCCAAGAACCAGCTGTGTGTAAAAGAAATGTTTAGTGCTGTTCATAGGGTGATCGTAAATGGCAGGTTCAAGACAATGTAAGATAACATCAGCAATGGTTATATATGTGTTACTATGCTTAGGGGATAGGAATATTGATGGAAGGTTCTAAAATTTTCCTTCTCTATTTTTATTAGAAAGGCTGTATTGATCTTTTGGAGACGTGAGAGTAGGGCATTTAGCAATAGTTGTTCTTCCACACACTGATCTGAAAGATGAGGAGGGGAGATGAGGAGGGGATGGGAGTGATAAGGGAGAAAGAGTGAGGAGCTTAGAATCCAGATGCTTTTGTTAGCTTAGTGGAGTGGAAAATGAAATAAAATTAAGATAAAGACCAGCTAATACCTACAAACAATGCATAAAAACCAACATTTTCTAATCACGAATAATAAAGCTAAAGGTTTTTCAGAAACTCTGCCTGTGAGTTTATGAAGCAAAAATATTATCATATAATTTACATTCAAGAGAATATTATAAATACTTTCTGTTACTTCTTTACATCTTGTGAAACCATCATATTATCTGTGGATGGATTAACCCATTCAGGGTATAAATCCCAAGAACGGTTCTCAAAATTTCAGAGGATGCTCTTTTTGTATGTTAAGGAAAATATTGGTTGTATGAATTATTTTAAAGTAGCTCTCATCACAGTTTCTTTCCCTTAGTGCTTCTTTGATTTTCTTGAGTTTAGACACGTTCCTGAAGGCATCCTATGCCATTAGTTTCCAAACTGAACACACTTTTTCATAATGTAAAACAAAAAAACTGACTGAGATTAAAATGAATGCAAATCCCACGTAGCCCTGAGCACAATCCAGGGATTGCATCTTGCACACTGCTCATTTACAGAAACATCTCTCTGTTCTGAGACCACCAGGAAAGGTGTACAACTTTTTCATCACCACTCCTAAATCCTGTACCTACTGGGTACTACTGTACCAATCATAGGAGAAGGGAAAAAAATGGTCACTTGAATTGTCTTTGGATGAAGCTAGTTAAGCAGAGGAATGAGAAGGAGACAATAGGACATAGAAGAGTTACTGTGTCACAGCCCAGGTAAAATTTCCTCTGTTAGATGCCGGGCACATAGTTTGAGCCTACATTGCTAGGTCCATGTGCCCTTACACTTTCCTTGGGCTCTTAGCTACCACACTCGAACCTTGATCTCTTGGGCATACTTCCTAAACTCAAGCTGTCAGTTGTCCTTTGATGGAAATGGATCTTCATGGTTCATATGCCCAAGGTACCCATAATCAGTGATGACCCCTAGTAGACAGCCCAGTTGTTTAAGCATGCCCTGTTCCAAAGCTCCAGCCTTATGGCACTGTCCCCCTTCAGAAACACATGACAGTTGAAGAATATAACATGTAGACTTTAAAAAAAATGCTGGCTTTGAAACTTTGGTAACTTTAGCTAGCATAAAAAAGTATTCAGGTGTAGCAAAACCACCAACCAGTTCCTTGCTCTTTTAGCACCTTTTGGGTTTAGATCAGAATCTTCTAAGGAGTCCAAGATCCTTCTGCCCTCTCTGGCCTTCTCTCTCTCTCTCTCATTCAGCCAGTTTCTTTCAATTTGGTTGATTCCACCCATTAAAAAGGACCTCCTGCTACAGACCTTTATTCCTCTCTTCTAGCCAAGCTTCCCTATCTATGTTAGTCACCCAGGATTTTTACTACCTGGCTTAATAGTTTCTCTGGCTAGAGCTTTTCCTCTCTGAACTCTTTATGCTTTAGACCACATGGGAAGATTTGTTTTTTTCACATACTCCTTATCATGCCCAGTGTTCAGCTAGAACCCAGTCATTAAGGTTAACCACTGCTTTTGTTTGTTTTGCACTGACTTCCAGAAAAGAGGGTAGCATGCATCAGGATTCTGTCAAACCATAGTTGACTCACTATACATTGAGGAATTCAATGGGAGAGTAATTTTATGAAATTATCTCTAATCCATAAATTGTACATGGTTTCTCCATAATATTAAATGTGGTCAATATGGTAGAAAGTACTAAGGGTTATGATTTGATTTATTCCACTAATTGAGAAAGTCACTCTCCTCAGTTCTAAATCCACCAGCATTTACCCTGTCATTCTGTTTGGAATTTTAACTAAACACATCCAGCAATAGCCAGTGCTTTTCCTGAAGCCTTAATAATCCTTGAAATGGTCCTGGGTATGACTGTAAACTGCATCTGACTAGAGGGCCTGGTGGCAACACGGGGCTAGTTGTGGTGGGGTAGCGCCTATAAAATACCACAATGTTGCAACATGCCAAGAGTAAGGGAAGTATAGGGACCCTCAAAACCCTATCCCCCATTGCCTTGTTCCTTGGTTGGAGTAAGGCTAAGGCAGTGGTTCTCAAGCTTTTTTGTACCAGGACCCATTTGTAAATAATGAAGGCCAGTCCCAACCCAGTAAACAGTTCAGGTACAAAACAGGCACCTGGCCCTGCCAGTGCCCATCACTCCCAACCCGCAGTGCCCCATCTCCCCATGCCTGTGC